CTTAACTAGGATGTTGGCAATATAAAGGGAGATGATCAAAGCATCGTGATGAGGGGCAGCAAGGGTGACTGGCTCGTCATCTTCAAACTGAATGACCTGGTTGGTATGCGCCCGAGGGGATGGATGAATGGACTGAACTTCTAAGTGGTGGTTGGCTCATGCATAGCACTTGGCTGAGGATTAGCTTACCTCACTGATTTCCGACCTTCTAGAGATAATGGAGCAGAACCCCTTTGGCGTACGTTCCCGTGGAGAGGGAGATATTTCCTTCGAGCTTCTCTAGCCGACTGTATTCTTCCCTTTATCCGTCAGTAGATCTCAGAGATGTCCTTTTTTCAGTAGTGTTACGACTTCCATTCTTAGGGCGATGCAATCCGTAATGTTATGACCATGGTTGCCTTGAAATTCGCACCATTTGGTCGTGTCCCTCTTCACATCGAGATTGAGCTTGACTGGCCACTTCATGGTAGGTCTCATTCATTTCATGATTGCCACGACCTGGGCTGGTTCGACGTTGAGGTTGTACTCTGGAACCTTGAATTGGTTCGATCCAGATGGTCTATTTTCGGCTCTAGTCGGTTGTTGGTCATATGGTTTTTTTATTCTACTCGGATTGCAGGGAGGGGGTTGATAGCGGGGTTTAAACGATCTAGACTCTGGCCTTCTTTCATTCTGCCTTTGGTGACGGTCATCATATCTGGCATGCCTTATCCGGTTCACCTCATCTTCCTCCCACCTGATTTGGATCACAACTCTGGCTAGGGCATCTTCCATTGTGGTGTAACTGAGCTTCGTAAAGTCTTTGTATGGTTCTCCATCTAAGAGGAGACCCTTTCTGAAAGCATCTACCGTCGTCTCTAGGTTGCAGGATGGGATGGAGATTTTTTCTTTGTTGAATCTGCTGACGTACTCTCTCAACGGCTCCCCCCTCTTCTGGTAGACTATGTATAAGTCAGCAGACAGCTTCTCGAGTTTCTTACTACTAGCGAATTGTTCAACGAAGGTGTCAGTGAGTTGGGCAAATGAGCTGATTAAGTTGTTTGAAAGGTTAGTGTACCATTGAGAACTGGTCCAGAGAGGCTTGAGCCGAAGCTCTTACACATATAGGCTTCCCTCAGTGTTCGGGGTATCAAGGCGGCAAACATCCACTGCTTGTATGAGGCATGTGGTCATCTGGGTTGGTTGTGCCATCGTAAGGCTTCATGCTGGGGATAGTGAAGTTGTAAGGCATCTCGGCTAATACGATTGCATCCACGAAAAGTGAATCGGCATAGCAATGAAGTTGGCTCTTTTTGGTTGGGATTGGTACTCCAGGTATACACCTTATCATTGCCTCTATGTCAGCCAATCTTTTGGCCAATATCTGCTTCATGGGCGAGGCGGAGGCCACTAGGTCGACCTGGTTGGCTTGGTTGGTCATGTGATTCGCACTCGGTCTGTTTCGTTGGGTCAAGTCACGTGGGGTAGCTTGGTAAACCATTCCATCATATGTCACTTGGTAACTCGGATTTCCATTCATTCCCTCAGGTTGGGTGGTTCCCATTGTGACTGATCGGATGTTTCGACCCGCATGGATGGTGAGAGGGGTTGTTTGGGAGTCGTTCGGTCTGTGGGGGTGGATGGATTCAAGTGAGGTGGATTGAAGATGAGGGAGCCCGCTCGACCCGCGAGGATGAGTCGAGCCAAGTGGGGTTTGGGTAGGAATGGTTGATTGGAGATGAGAAAGGATAACAAGGATGGGTGGCTCTTGTTGTGGTGGGTTTTTTATTACTTGGATGTCTTAATCCCGTGCCTGAAGCAGGTCAACCGAGAGTGGCTCTACTGGCAGTCCCCGCTCAATTAGATTCAGGGCTGAATCGTCCACTAGTGATGAATAGAGTTGTCACAATCTTGTATCCGAGATCTTTGGTTTGCGATCTGGAGTTTGGAGAGGTTGCATGGATGAAATTGATGCGCGGAAACGATTGGGTTGTACCTGACAAGGCTGAAGCTCAAGGTCATAAAATTGACTTACTTTCTCTTTCAAAGACTGGTTTTCGACCCGGATGAAGGCGTTTTTGGTCTGGATGGCGGTGTTCTCAACTTCCAGTGTTGTCACCTTGTCTGAGTGTTATTGCATAAGGGCAGTCAAAGCTTCGAGTTTGGCCTCGAGGCCAGGATTGGTGTTATCTGAATTTTCAACCATAGAGAGTTTACTTACGAAGTAGGGTTTGAAATATGAATGATTGCTAGAGGCCCCACAGTGGGCGCCAAACTGTAAATACAAAAAATTTACCTTTACGAAAATAGGGTCTGATCTCGTAAGATTGAGGCTACTGGCAATCCGCTATACCTGCACACGTAAGAAAGCAAGGTGAAGCGAACGAGAAACACCAGGGTAGTGTTTGCCATAGGCACTCTGACGCTTAAGTCAGCAAGGCCGAGTGAGGCTAATTTAGTGAGGGTTAGGGAGCGAGAAGGTTACCAGAAGTCTAATCAGAGACTATAACTACAGTTGTGATACGAAAGTCTCGAGAGTGAGAATTGCGGGGTTTGAAGGTGTAATGTATATGTCCCTTGTGGGAGGGTCGGCCTCTGTTTAAATAGCGACTGTAAGATCTTCGAATCCTGGTGGGACTGAGAGTCCTTGGAGCTGAGGTTTTGCGAAAAAGGAGAACATTTGGCTCCCTTACCTCAGTAGGAAAGGAAGTCCTAGCGGATCTAAGACACGGATCTTAGACGAATTAAGGTAGTTATGGACCTCTTCAATAGAGTTCAGACAGTGCCAAGGTAAGTAGGCAACCTTGGGCTCAGAGTAGATCTTAAGTCTAGAAGGTGGTCTAGAATCAGAGGGTCTGGTCCCAGATAAACTGGCGGTGAGGCCTAAACGAATCGAGCTTTTGCTAATTGAGTCCAAATGGTAAGCAACTGGGTAGATGTACTGAACGGGCCTGATATGCAAACTCTGTTGCGGGCTCAATCGAAATTGGGCCTTGGCTTTGAGCTTTGTTGAAGGTGTCTTCGTCTTGGACCTATTTGGGCCGATGACATTTTTTGGCCCTAACAGCATCCATTCGAGGTGGATGCCTATCCATAAGAAATGGACTCACGTCCATATAATATGAACGGAAGTCCATTATTATCAAAACAATTCGTCCAGATTAGTGGACAGCCATCCATTTGTAATAAACGATCGTCCATCAAATATGGACCAGCATCCATAATTATTGGATAATCGTTCATTCAGGGAAGACGCGTTATAGCATCCAACGTGACTGTGTCTACTCGGATGCCACATAAGTCGGTATAACAATTCGATGAGATTAATCGATGTCTATAGCATTACTCATGAAAAAAAAAAGCTAGCTTAATGGGCTAGTTTATGCAATACCCCTCTTTTCTTTTTTCCAAATGCTTTTCTTCGTACTTTACATGTGTGTTTGGTTCGGGGTTATGTGAAATTACTCCAATAATATCATCTTATATTACTTACATTACCATGTTTAGTTGATTACTTGTATTATCATGTTTGGTTGGCAAGTAATATAAGATTTCAGTGATCTTTTAAAACCAATAATAAACATTGTTAGTTATATAAGTGGTAATCTGAATATCACTATTTTCTTAGGTATTCTGAGATTAATTGATAATCTTATTTTTGTTACAATTTCACCCCTAACTATTAAAATTTTTGGACAAGAATGCCCTTATTTGGAAAACAATTTACAAGAATGTTCAGGGACTATTTTATCCTTATACACAAAACTTTTAAATAAGAATGCCCTTGTATTGAAAACAATTTACAAGAATGTCGGATCTGGCCACCACCATCGACGACTGTCAACGGACATCTCTGGAACGGTGCATGACTGGTCGTACGTGCACAGGTTTGTGGCCGTTAACGCCCATAAATCTGGCCAAATGGCCAGATTTATTCTAGACGGAATAGATCTAGCCAAAAACGACCAAATCGACGTACGACCGACCGAATCCAATAGGTCATGCACCGTTCCTACGACTATCGACGACCGACAATGACTTGGATGAGTAAGGTGTTTTTGTTAATTTTTAAATTTTTATTATTGGGGTGTTTTAGCTAAATTCTCAAATATAGAGGATTAAAAAAATAATCTAAATAATAATATTAAAAGATAAGGACAATTTAATAATCGATATAACATACCCATAAATTTATTATAATCTAATCAAACACATTTTATATAACATTCCTAATACTTTTCAAAATAATTTATTTTCTTATTAATATAACATTCTTATTCCTAGAACTAAACCCCCCCACCCCCGATACAAATATAAGGTGTCACATCTTGGTTCCCCCCTGTGCATTTTCTGTCCACTGGTTATTGACGTTCCACTTTCTACCCTGAAGCTTCAAAGGTTATGGAGGACTTCACAGCTAATTGGTCAGTTTTTTATCCGCCCACGTATTGAGTTTAAAGTAGCAATAAATAATCACTTACAGGAAAAGTAGATACATGAATGGTTACCACTGTCAATCTACCAACCTTGTAGGAGGAACTTCATATGCTAAAAACATACATATTTTTACGGTAATTGTTAATGTTTTGAGTTGAATAAAATAATATTGGACTTTGAAAATATTAAAACAAATGCATTTTTTGGTTTTTAGGATAGTATAGTGGGAAAATAGTGAAACAAATGCAGCCTATGATTTTAGTTTCCAGTTTCCACAGCTAACTGTCAGTGGCATGCGAACATTGCAAAACAGAAGATAAAAAGAGTTGCAGGTGATGAATGAGCAAACCACAAAGTGAGCCTGATTTTTCAACTGCGAATAAAATGGCCACCAAGAAAACATCTCTGCTATTTAAATGTTCATTTCTATGTAATCAAATGGCCATCACAAAAACATCTCTGCTATTTAAGTGTTTAAACGAACATCCCAAAGATTCAAGTCGGGATTTTCCTAGGGAGGTATCAGGAAGAGATTGGAAGAGAAGAATATCAATTCATGTGTGCACACTTGAGAAGGACAGAGATAATAATCAAAGCAGAAAACCATCCACAGCAAAAATATTTATTTCAGATTTAATCAAGTCAAGAATTGTCTACGAAAACAACAGTATAGTAAATCAAAGATAAAAATTAACAGAAAGCATAACTCATAAGGGTTGCCTCACTTCATTTTTGCCTCTGTAAACAGAACATGACGATTCACCCGAGGGTCATATTTTCGGAACTCAAGCTTCTCCAAAAGTTTCTTAGCACTCTTCTTCTTGACATAGAAGAATCCAGTCCCAGCAGCTGAGACAAGCCGGACGAACATAAAAGACTTCTTCTTGTCACCCATCCCTCAAGTTACACACAAAAAAACCAATCAAATTAGCACAAACAGATCACCCTAAGAAAGAAGCTGTGTGCAAATAAAAAGCAATGTCATGAAAATTACTAGTCCAAACAAGAATAGATGTCTACAAAATAAAAGCAATTTATACACAAAATTATTATTTTGCAATACTAAATCATCTTCTATGAGTGTTGAAAAGAACTATTTAACATAACCCAGCTAGAAAACCAAACAAAGCATTGTATATCTCAAGTACAAAACTCAAAATATTGCAAGAATTTTGACCACAAAAACAAACATTCAGATGCTATAAATTCTTGTACAAGTTCTCTGTACAGTCGTCTATCAAGCTCTAGATTACATTCAAAATTTTATCAACAAAGTAATACTTTTACTACCCTGTTGGAAATTAACTCAATATCAGTAATCAAATATTCAATTTTTAAGCAACAAAAATAACAACTTGGGAAATTTGAAGTACTTACTGTTGAATCCACGCAACAGTTACTAATGGAGATCAGTGAGTGTTGGTGAGACTGTGAAGTGAAACGAAACGACAATGCAGAGAACGAAAGAGAAACCCTAAGGTAAACCCGAAGAAATAAACATAATGACCGAAATAGCCTTTTCTCTTTTTAATTATTTTTATGTTGCGCATGTTAGCCTCAAAACTTTGGCGCACTTTAGTATGAAGCTGCAGTACCCTAAAACTCATCTCTCTCTATCTCTTCAGTCTCTCAGGGCTGGTTCTCAGTATTGAAAAGAAAATTTTAATCAGGTGGAGAGAAAAGGTAAAAAATTACGAAGAAAAATTTATATTTTATTTATTTTTAGGCTCAAACCGTGAATTTATCTCATTAATTACTGGTAAAACGTTGAATTATTGAATTGGTCAGGTTAAATTTTTTCATTTCCTCCAATTTGTTTCTTTCCTTTCGTTTTCTTGGTAACCGAACAGAATGGCCGCTGAAAATTTCGGATTTTATTATTGTTTTTGTTAGGTGCAGGAAATCAATTGGAGATGGCGAGCGCGGTGGATGCGGCGGGAGATCCGATCCCAACGTCGGCGGTGCTAATGTCGGCGTCTAAGCATATAGGGACGAGATGCCAACCGGAGAATGTTGAGTATTTAAAATGCAAGAAGAGTGATCCCAATCCAGAGAAATGTCTCGATAAAGGTCGCCAAGTTACTCGTTGTGTCCTTGGCCGTTAAGTGTTGGCTGATCATTATTAGTTTTTTTTTTTTTTTTTTTTTTTTTTTTTGGTATGAATGATTCTGTGATTTGAAGACGGAGAAATTTTAGTATTGTAAGGTTCATTCTTTAGTTAAAGCAGGTTCTAGTGTTATGCATTTTAAGTCCAAGTTAATTTAGTTTTCCTATCAAACAAATAATAAAGTCTAGCTTAATTTAGCCTTAATCGGTTACATTTGCATCTTTGATATGAAGTTTTGTTCTTGGTATTCAGTTCAAAACACGCAGTGGGATTTTGATAATACCTTGCAAACTTTCACTGCATGAACTCATGAAGTCTTTGAATCTTTGGTTGATTGGATGCAAGGATAGGTGATTTTGGAAGTTTTTTCTTAAAGTGTTGTGTTGATTAATAATTATTTACATATACATGGTACAAAGTAGTTCACATATGAAAACACGGATATATGCAAGAACCAGAAACAAGGATTAGTTTTATTTTCTTACTGGAAACATGATCTTAATTTTGAGATATGATTTCTGTTATGCAAACTGTATGTATAGAGTTAATTCTGAAACCACCAAAAAGAAGTTATACTTAATGTGGGAGCATATAAGCTCAAAGCATAATGGGTCCATATACTCAGTTCATTAACTGTGTAAATCTTTTTTTCTTTTTTTTTTTTTTTTGGTTCTGTTTCTATTTCTGCCTGGGCATGTGACTTTTAGTAATTGTAGGATTAAGATTAAACTCACCAGTTTATATTCAGCAGCTATATGTCAATCTAGATTGATGAGGAACCAAACTCAGTAGTTCATCTAGTTACTATCATACTCCTCACAGCATAATTAGTTTATTTCAACATAATCTCTGCAATCTAAGTGTAAATACGGTGCTAGTTGAATTTTTTAGATTCAATACATATATGTTTATATAACTTAATGAATAAATTATATATGTATTTAATTTTAATGGTTATTAAAATATTTGACTTCTTAGGAAAAGAAACTAACTCTATTTGCTATGAATCTGCCTTTGACAGTAATATCTAAATTTTATATACCTATTTTAATAATTTGTTAAAGTAGTAATTCAATTTTTGATGTTGACATACTAAAACTATGAAGTTAAGATATACCATTTCCAGATAGGAACTAAGAGTAAACTTTAGTTTATTGTCTCAAAATCGAACTGATTGTACTGTGGTAAACAAATTGAGCTAATTAACTACTTGATGTGGCTTGTGAATCGAACTCAGAGTCAAAAGAAGATAATAATTTATGTTTATTAATCCAGTTCAAATAAATGAATCGAACTCGGAGTCAAACAAAGATAATAATTTATGTTCATTAATCCACTTCAAATAACCTCCTAATCTTGTAAGTTTGACTCGTTTAGGACCTTGTTTCCTATACTCTTTATATGTGTAGAACTCACTTGAGGCTTTGTATAATAGAATCTTTTATATTATTAAAGCTTTTCTTTTATCATCTAAATGTCAAAACAACCTATCGGCAATCTTTGCCCTTCATTCAGATGTTGAAATTCTTATTCAGTGAATTACTTTCTAAAAGTTTTTCAGTTTCTTACAGTTAACTTGAATTGATATAAGCCTCTTATCTGTTCCAAATGTATCCTAACCTCCTGTAATCTTTCTTCCTGTGGAAATTTTTAAGTCTTGTGGAAAGGGAATATCTTTTCTTTCTTGTAACGTTAGCGGCTATTTAATGAGCATCCCCTGCTGGATGAGAAAACCTGTAATGAATATAAAAGACCTCAATACTTGTGAATAAATTCCTTTAAAACGATATTTGAGACTTCTTGTATACTCACAAATCTTTCTTATCTATCGCCTCCCAAAACTTGCTCTTTCCAGCTCTGGATATGGTAGGTTCTAATCCAATAGGATATATTTCTGGTCCTCTATTTTGTTATGATAAGTACCTGTTATACAATTTATCATATTTGTTTTACCTTATGATGTTTTGTTTGTCATTGTTGGTGAATTGTTATTTTTTTTATCGGTCTGCTTTGTCTTCTCTTTACCTCAACCTGTGTTCTGAGTATCATGTTTCTTCCTGCATATTAATGATTTGCTCTCATAGCTGGTTCATTTTCAAACACTCGTCATGAATACTTTCTGATTTACCTGTCACCTTACAGATAGTATCGTTTAGTTTTTCTAAATTATCTGGTTTATTTTATCAATAGAAAGTGGCTAAATCCTCTAAGAACATGGAAAGTGTCACTCAAATGTGAAGTGTGCTAGTTGGTTGATTTATAAATGGTGAAATATTTACCCTGCAGGCTAAAAGACCTTCATCAGAGGTGCACAAAGGAGATGGATGATTATGTTGGTTGTATGTATTACCACACAAATGAGTTCGATTTATGTCGCAAGGAGCAGGAAGCATTTGAGAAGGCATGTCCATTGGAATGATTGGTGTAAGATACTTGTACTGCCATCCTCAGAATAAGTTAGATCACTTTGCAAAGAGCAAATACTGTGTTGCCAACATTTTAATGTTGGAACTTGCTTTTCACTATGAATATTCACCCGTTTTGTGTGGTTGATATCATTTGTTGGAAATGTTTCTGATTCAAAAGAAGGCACTGCCCTCTACAAGCATAATTGATGACCTCATCATTTACTGTTGCAATGATTGGCCGCTTTTGATATGTTTACTAGAATATGAATTTTTAATTAACATCAACAGGGACCCAAAAAAAAAAAAAAATAAAGGTTTCAAGGATGGTTCAACTTCAGGCTGCTAAACTATATGATTACGACATTGATGTGTTGAACATCTGACATTACTGGCAGATTAATTAGTGTTGTTGCCTTAAAAGCTCACACACATTCAATTCTGGGTAAGGTATAAACTAAATTAAAAGTGCTTCATCAGTAAGAAAAGGGTTCACAACAGAACAAAGAACTGTTACGTACATGCTAATGGGTCTATATTACCAATTGAATTGTCGATGTCTTTGTCGAGCCGAATGAGACATTTTATATTTTTCTACTAAATTAGTAAATTTAAAAACCCATCCCTTTAAATTTAATGTACCCATGAGGTCGAAGGCAGCCGGTATTGGCAAATGGCACCCATTCCTGCATTCAGAATTGACAAAACAGGCCAATTGGTGGAGGAAATCACACGGATTTAGCTATTCCACAAATTATAAACACCAATTGACTAGTCTAGCAATATAAGATGGATTAAAGCATCAAAGATGAGCAACAAGTAGCAACAGCAGTCATAAGTCATATACCAATAATCCTAGAGTTTTAAACACATTCATCTAGCTAAACTAATACTTGGGAGTACTCTTTCAACCAGCAACTACACGAACAGCACCTTGAGGAAACAAAACTTGACCAGCTATCAGCAAGGACTGCATGTAAAAAAAGATATAAACCGAATCATTTCACTGGCCACATGTAATCAATTCAAAATGGATGTGAGAAACAAACAGAACTTCCAACTGAAGGATATTAAGCTACAATCAAGGACAATAAAATTTACCTTCCATCCCTGAGAACCCCAAACATCTTTTTCTAGACTTGTGTTGTTACATTTATATTAGAGAAACCAATATCGCCTACCATAAGTTTAGGCGTTACTGCAACAAGTTATTCATTTTACTTCAGCATAGATTCTAATTCCAAAGCTATAAGCTATTCAATTTATTAGCCAAGCATATCGCAATGGCAAGCCCATAATTCAACAGATCTCCATTTGACAGCTAAAAGTAAAAATCTTATACATTTTTATTTAGGATATGAAACAACAGAATCCATGTTCCAGCACCAAATTACCTTGATTGGGGCATGTATAGAATTCTGAATGCTTTAATTAGTGTATACCAAACATACTTAGGTAAAAGAATAAGATTTAAGTTCCATTCCAACATCATCGCTACAAAAGGCTCCAGTAAATTCTGCTCACCACTATGCATCAATGAACTATATATCTTTTATCTTTAATAAATACCAAGCCAAGACCTAAATACACCCCAACCACTCAACTGTCACTCAACCACCCAAGAAGGCGTGTAGCCTTCACAAGGTTTCTGAACTCTCCAGATTCAGAACCTCTAGGTAAGAATAATATGGCCCTGAACTTCCGATTAAGAATTGATTAAGTCATCAGTAACCCCAAAGTTGAAGAATAAAAAATTGTTAACATTGAGGAGAAGATTAATTGCATCCATTCAACAAAAAATAGGAATTGAGAGAAGCAACTACCTGTAGAATCATGAACGAGACCTTGAAGGACTGCGACCATTACCCCTAGGACTCATTGACGGGCTAGGTGCATAATTCCTCTCATCATGAAAACTCCGACCATTCTCCCTTGGACTTGGGGACCTCTGGTTTGACCTGTAGTCCCTCTCATCATGTGGAGAAGGGGACCGTGAGACAGATCTAGATCGCCTTGGGGAGCGATAATCATCCCTATCCCGATGATCCCTGTTTCAGTGGCAAGGGAAGACATTTATGCCCATGAGAGATGTCTACAGTGAATACATGTATGGCAAATCTTTTAGACTAAAAAATAATGACAAAAACAAAATAAATCAGATTATAGAACAACTTAAATATATCCAGAATGAATACAACATAAAAAAAAATTGCATTTATATTTGCCACAATAATAAAGCCTCTTCCAATCTGTATGATCCATAAGACTTCAGAATGAAAGCCAACTCAGCACAACACGATAGATAATCAAAATTGAAAGAGATGACCTGTTTTAAGATGAGAAAGTTTTCTAGTCACATCCTCATTCAAAACTAATTGATCAAAATATGACTTTTACCTTTTCCATTGTTTCAGAACAAATATATAACACTTGGATCCAGACACTGAGAGTTAGGCTCTATTATGTTGTACTGATTGATCAGCATCGGACAACTTCATAGCTTCTTTGCCACAGCTTTCTAAAACCTCAAATTATGTTTTTTTCCTGGACAAAGCCATCATACCTCTCTACTGGTAAAAACTTTGAATAGCTTCCCTCTTTGAAGATGATTTCTTTCTTTGGCCAACTATATGCTCTTCCTATATTCTTTATTAACTGGATAGTATATGCAAAACAAGACATCAAACTTAACAATTTCTTATTAAAAACACTAGGTTTATAAGAAAAAGAAAAATATAAGGTACACATGTGATACTAATCATTTCTCACACCAAGTTTAGCTGCCCAGTTCATTCACTGGTAGCAACCCTCACTAACCAACGGTCAAAGAATAAGAAAAAGCCCATGCAACTGGTAGACAATAGCTGGTGAAGGTGAGATTATTGATAATCTTATGGAGTAGCTTTGATAGAAAGATATGCATGTTTTCCATGACTTTAGATCTCTTTCTCTTTAATCTCTATAATCCAGAGCCTTTAAAGTCTCCCTTTTCACTTTACTATCTGCATAAACAAGGTCACCAGCAAATATTATTCATATTCATCATAACACAAGACATTATCTCTAAGGGGAAAAAACCTCTGTACATTATTTTTAAACAGTCAGAAGGAAGGTCATCATGTAGAAGGCTTGGATGTCATGAGATTATTATAGTTGGTACTAAACCGGCAAGATTCCCCAAGCTTCCACCAAGAAGGAAAGGTTTCAATTTCAAAGCCAAAATTAATTCTTCATTTGCTTGGACGTCAATAACCCATTATGCAGCTGCAGTATATATGCTCACTAATGACAAGTGTCATAAAAATTTGATCGATTTAGCACCACTAAGAAATTGACATTAGTGATAAAGTAATGTAACACAATTAACAAGCTGACTGAAATTATCAAAATATCCAAGACAAATTACTTCTTTCCAGCCAGAAAAGAAGTATCAATATCATCATTGTTAGCTGTAAAAAAAAAAATAGTATACAAAAGCATGAGCCTTGATGGATATGCCACTTTCATTATCTGCCAAGATTGGCATACAAACTGCTTCAGATACCAATGAAATTTTTTTGGCATGCCAAAGCAGTAGTATCCCAAACAATAAATAAAAAACCCACAAGATGTCTGATGATGATGTGCATAGTGTATGATACCAACAAAGAATGAATGAAATCAGTTGATCAGTCGTTTTACATAAAATAACAAATATAAGAATTCATATCTATGCTTTACAAGAAAGAGATTAAAACTCTTAAATCTTCACATAGATAAATTCAATACCTTGAGCCATGCCTCGCTGAAGGTGAGCCGGAGTAAGCTGGAAACAAAACATAAATAATGATTTAGCACAAATTTTAAAGTAGTAAAAAAGTCTATCACCATCAAGAATATTTTCAGACATGTAACAGACAAACTTGAACATGGTTGTCTCAAGAAGCTCAAACAAGCAAAAGAAAAGTCAAACTTACAACGATATCGGCGTCTGGGGGACCTTGGTGGTGTCCTCCTATGGCTTCCTCCATGTCGACCACTTTAAATGAAGTATAAAAAGAAAAATACAAAAAAAAAAAAGGAATAAATAACTACTTGATTGAATCAAATTTTATTCATGCGGTTTAAATAGTTGAAAGGTAGTGTTCAAAGAGGAAGACAAAGACAAAAACTTTCTTCGGTCATACCTCACACGGGTACTCAAACGCATCTCTTGAGGAGTTTTCCTATTCTCCTCAGCAAAGACAATTTTTATCTCACGTCCACCAATGAGTGTGTGATTCAACCGTTGCTTTGCTTCAGTTGCATCTTCACCATAGCGGAACTTCACAAATCCAAAGCCTCGTGGCTCCCTGCGAATTCCAAGCACACAATGCAACACCATGAATTCAAATACACTATGACCACTTAAAATCAAATGATTGAAATTACAGATGAGAAAAGCATTTAAATGAACTGTTATATATATCAATCATCTGAAGAAGGATCTATAAAGCAGTGACCAAGCTGTTATCAGCCTGTCTAGCGTTAATTAGAAGCACTAGAGTAATGTGCAAAATAGAACAAAACACAAAATCCAAAAACTGAAACAAACGTCAATGAGCATCAAAAGCTAAAGCATACCCAGTGTAGTAATTTTTTGGAAGATACACATCCTTCACCGGACCATATCTCTCAAACGGAATCCTAAGATCCTCCGGCCTGCACAGTAAAATGAAACTCTTAACTACTAAACCAAACAAAATATAAAATTGACAAAAATATGTATGTTCCCACTAACAACTCGTGAAGCAATTTTCTCGTCTTTCTTAGGTATTAGAATCATTAAACTTTGACATAGTTCAATAATTAAACCATAACGAACAAAAGATAGACAGAGCTGATAAAATCCAAACAAAAAGAAGATAAAAAGACCTGGCGTCGAGAGGGAGGTTTCGAACAAGCAAACCAGAAGGACCGGGAGAGCGGCGGTCGCCGTAAGACCTGCGGGGCTCATCGTCGTAACGCTTCCTGCCACGTACACGGGGGCTCCTGCTACGGTGGCGAGGGCTGTAGCTACGGCTACGACTCCTATACCTAGCCATAACCCCTTCAATTTGGGAAGAAACAACACAATTTAAAAACCCTAACCCTAACTGAGAGAGAGCCAGGGAATTTTCGAAATTTTGGAGGGAGAGAGAAGTACAATAAAGCGGGGACAAGTGAAGTAATAAGCTAATCCTCACGGTCTCACTTTTCTCTGATAATAATTACTAATTAAGCAGCATTTATATATACAGAAATTTATTCGAAAGCACTTTTTAAGTGTCTTTTGTTAAAAAAAACAAAAAAAAAAAAAAAAAAACTTTTAAATATTTGTACCAAACACTGCTTTGTCATAATAATAATAATAGAATTAAGGATAAGGTTAATCAAATAATTACAATTGCACAAATAATCAACATTTTGTAATAATCTTTCGATATTATATTTTATTTATAGTCTTTTATCAGTTTTTTGCCTTTATTTTCTCTTTAAGAAAAAATCGTTAAAGAAAAAAAAATTATTCAAAGCGAGGTACTTATTATATTGAAAAAAAGCAAGAAAATAGCAGGTTTAACTTAAACGAACTTGGTGAATAAATGTTTAGTTCATGTTTCTACATAATAAATATTTTTTAGGGGCTTGTCACGTTAATTTGAAAAAATAAATTGTACAATTAGTTCATATATATATATATATGGCATGTTACTCTAAGACTGTGTTTGGTACTTACTATTAGTAATAAGGAGGTAATCTGACTATTTTTTTCTTACAATTTTGCTCTTTTTACTAAAATTTAGGATATAAATGCCCTATTTTTAAATTAATTTACATGAATCTAGCTATTACATTTTTACCCCAATTAATAACCTTTTGGACAAAATTACGTTTGAATTCAAAAAAAATTGCAGCCCCACTAAGCCTCCACCCCACCACCTGCCACGCGGGCCACCACTGCCGAAAAGGCATACAGTCGCCCGAAAATGGCCTTTGTGCGTTGATCTAGCCATTTCCGGCCAAATCGACGCACAGAGGCCATTTTCGGCCAACCATGTGTGTTGTGTTGCCAACGACTGGCAGTGGCTGGGTTGATAGGGGTGCATTCATTGATTTTCTAAAGTTTTATTATGGGCTTGTTTTTGCTAAGTTTTTAAATGGAGGGGATTATATTAATAATCAATAAAAAATATTTAATAAGAGGGAATTCAGTCATTTAAAAACATGTCCACCAATCTATTCTCTCAACCAAACATATTAATATAATACCCACCAATTTATTCAAAACATTTCCCTAAACATTCACAATAATCTTCAAGATAATTTATCTTTCCGTTAATACAACATTCCCTAAACCAAACGCACCCTAATATTAATTAATAGTTCTTTTATAATTAATTGCACTTCACAATTACTACATTAATTATCTCATAAAATCAAAACAATTGAGATAACAAAAAAATGATGTTTGTTTTGTCGATATCCGATGTTGTAGACTTTGGGCTTTGGGTATCCAAGTTTAAGGAGTAGATCTTACATACTTTAGTTGGATCAATGTTTAAGTTCGGATTTTTAGTTAAAAGTCTAAGTAATCAAGTACACTGATGTATAGTTTAAGATAGATGATTAGTAGTTATTCTTATCATTTAGTCTCAAAACTCATTTTGGACAATTTGTGCATAATTGACTAATCTTTTAGGATACTGAAATTAATGATCGAGTAAACTCCCAATGGCCAACCTATTAGCAACTAGGGGAATCGAACTCAAATTCTCTTAAGTAATACATCAAATATCCTTATGCCCCATTTGACCAAAATGGTAGTTATTGAAACGCTTTTTTAAAGGTGAAGGATTTATGGTGTCTAAGCTAAAGGGTGAAATAAAATTAGATTTTACAACTTCTGTACAATGTACACCCATTTTTCCTCTACGTGGATGATAAGAAAAACTAGCCATTGGTGATGAACTCTTCAAGTAATGAGAAGGGTCAATCATTAGCAACAAATTTTAAGCGATGATACAAGTTTTCTAACCTTAGAGTATCTCTAATAGTACTTTTTATTTTAAAGATTATATTTTATATAAATAAGGAATATCTTTGTTAATTTCTAAATATTAAAAAAAAAAATTTATTCAAATCCAATACTCTTTAAATTTTAGGAGAGAAAATACGTTTTTTCAAGAAAAGGACTTAATAGAAAAGAGAATAATAAATAAAATACATAGAAACTTGTAATTTATTAATTAAAATTATAATAGAGAGTGAAATTTAACTCTCTAGACGTGGAGAATGAAATTTAACTCTCCACTTTTAATTTATATTTAAATAATAAAGAGTCAGTTGGACTCTTATTTTTATAGATAAACTTTTTATAATAAAGAGTTTGGATCATATAAAGATTTATTTAGAAATACTCTTATAGAAATGAATTTTTGAGTAATGAGATTTAAAAAAAAAAAAAAAAACTGAACCCATATGATAGCATCACTGGTCATGAGATTTTCATTTTAAATAATTTTTGACATAAGAAAATTCTATCATGTTCTTCGTACTTACGGCGGGTCGACTCGTACCCAAGTAAAAAATATAGGGTATGGGTCTAGTGCACTAAACCCGTACACGACCCAGCCCATAATGCCAGCACGTGACCACGCATTTTTGCAGTTCAAAACACCTATAATATGTATGAATACAATTAAACAAGGTTGAAGTAATTCACCCATCAGTCAATCGAGACTATAAAATATAATGGCACATTTTAAATCATTTATGATATAGTATGTGACAGATTATATGAAAAATGTTTTATGTTGTATTAAATTAATTAATAAATCATTAAAAATATAGATTTATTCTCTATATTTAACTTATAACTTCAATGATCGTTGTATTTCAAATAGAATATGTTCTACCTTGACGGTTGTTGGATTTTGAATCCAGATCCAAGGGTTAAAATTGTTTTGACAAACAAATAATTAAAAAAAAGGTCATGATATAACACTAACAACTTAGTACTTACTTCCAGACTATGGGGTGAGCATGAGTAAAGGTAGAACTGGAACCGGCTATCATAGGATAGGTTCCGGTTCCAAATTTGGTGGAACCGGTACTGTACGGTTCCGGTTCCACCACTTCAGAACCGAGAACTGGAACAAAAAGAAATAGAAAATGATTACAATCAAATCCAAGACCCAAACCACCCTGACTCGCTTACTAGGGCTAGGGAGAGTTAATTGGGGAATTTGGTCAAGCAAGGAGTGAGCCAAAAATGCCATTCTTCAAAACTTCAACACCCGATTCATTCCAACCCAAATCGACACAAACATTCACAATCAAGCACAAACAAACTCTGATCAACCAAAATACACAAGCTCCTTGTAAAAAACCAAATTAACATTAACCCAATTCACGAAAGTCGCAAAGAACCAATAGAATTGACAAACGATGGACGGCGAACGGCAGGTAACTAAGTTAAATGACATCCAGATATTTCAGTTTTTGATGATAATTAGGTCTTGGAAACTTATCCTAGAGATTTTTGAGGTTTTAGAGATAAATGCCATCTAGATATTTGAGTTTGACAAGGTTGGATGAGCTTAGCTGAGCAGGGGCTGAAGTGAGTTGGATGAGAGAAAAGGAAAGAAAGTTTTATGCCTAAAAAATCAAGGCTGACACGAGCTTACGTCAGTCAGCGCCAGTTAGAGTTCAGGAAGGTTTTGTGTTGTCCAGGAGTTACCACATCGTCAAAAGACAAAAAGAGTATAGCGGTCATCAACTTGGCAAACTCAAGCTTTCTCTACGAGTGGATGGGAGTCGCCCACCTGTCCAAGCCTTGCGCGATTTGAGGATATATGTCATGTAATCAGTCAATGGGAAGCGCGGTAGGAATTGTACTACACCTACTCACATGCAGACTTGTAATCATTACCTTGAAACCTTTTACTATAAATAGAGGGCTCCCCTCTCATTTTTGAGATTCTGATAAGAAACCTACATTCAGATTGTAACGTTTTACTCTCAAAACACAGATAACCTGCGGGAAAGAGACTGACTTGATATTTTCTCTTAACAATCAGTCACTTGTACTTTACTCGCTATTCGCTATACGCAACCTCCTATAACCTCATAAATATATAAAAGAACAGTGGACGTAGGATCCGCTTTAAGCGTCCAAACCACTTTAAAATTCATATTCCATTTACTTCATTGCATTTTCCATTCACGTGTAATTTCTAAGCCAACTTAGCACATTGCACATGCGAATCGTTGGTATCAAAATCAAGCATCAACAGTTTGGCTCTAGAAGGAGGGCGTGATTTAGTATTCGCTCTTCATCAAGAATGTCTGATCAACCAACTCAGCTTGCTGACAAATGGCTCGTGGTTTCGAAACCGAGCGAACTAGCCTAACCCTGAGGAGATCCCCCGGGTGTAGGATGATACTTCTTCTGAAGTGCCTCCCAGCTCCCAGCTCACAAAATACCGTGGCGAATTTTCCCTCAAGCTCACAGCTCGATCCAACTATAAGGAGTTACCTAGAGAGGTTCAACAATACTCTTGAAATGGTTAGCCGAAGGCTAGACCGTTTAGATCAGGTCGTACCGCTCGATTCTGATAAGGCAATCTGGGGACGACATTTCCCTCACCTGTTTCTACAATCTTACTGAGAAGTACCTCCAAATCAAGAATTGCGTGGCTACTCTAAATCGCCACGACCCCGGTCCTTCGACCAGTGCCCCTCGCCAGGGGGAAGAAGGCCGAGGGGAGAATAGTATGAGAGTTGATCACAGATGGGCCAATGACGATCAACGAAAAGGAAAGAAGCAAAAGTTTGAGCCCAAGAAATCTTATGCCTAGGTTCCCTATCGCGATGGCGACAAGAATCTGTATACTCTATTCAATGCATCGGTATCAGCTATTCTGGACAAGTCAAAAGAAGCTAATCTGCTCGGCCATGAATAATCCCCCTATGGCAAGAAACAGCAAGAAATATTGTCGTTATCATCAGGACAACAAGCACCACACCAGTGAGTGTTGGGCTCTCAAGCAGGTAATTGAAGACCTCATAAAAAATGGGCACTTCAAGGAGTATGTTGATGGTCCAACTCTCGTTCGAGAAAAGGATCAAAGAGGCGAGGGGAAGAAATGTCGTGATCGTAAAGGTTTCCATCTTGT